TATTGTGGGGAGAAATTCTGTCTTGGTCACTCATGGGAGTTAAAGGGTTAAAATCTCTAGGACCTCAAAGAAAAATTCCTGAACATTATGACACCGCCTTGTATAAGAAAAAAATCATAAAACTATATTAAATATCTTTACACAAATATCAGAAACATATGTTAAAACGGTTACTGCAAATTATACGTTATACTCAATGGATTTTCTTATTTTATCTTTCTCTGTCTTTGGCTTAAACTCTGCCGGAGTTTTCACTTGAAAACAGGTTTCACCGGTTTGCGACTTGGACACAAGAACAACACTTCCTTTGCGTTGCAGTTCTCCCTTAACAATTGGTGATGCAGTTGCATTCACATCCGGGGTATCTCCTTTCTTAGGCTTAGTGTATCGTGATTTCACAGAGGGGAGGGGTGGCGAGGAAGCCGTTGTCGAGGGTTCTGTATAAAAGGGACTCTCCATTCGGTTATTCCTAGATAGTTTCCTTCGAGGAACGCTCGTGGATTCGTCGTTTGTTTCCGTAAAGATCGCCGGGTTCTCGTAAGCTTCATGAACTTCGTTGTCAGCTGAGCGGGTCCTGGTCCTAGTCTCGATTTGAGAAACATCTTTTCTAGCCCGTGTGGGCAAGGAGTACTTCTTTGCTATGGCGCTGTTTGCCTTCGTCACATCGTTACCTAAAAGAACACCTTGGTCGACATAGGAAGACGATGGGGAATATCGTTTTTTCGGTGAAAATGGTTCCTGGTCAGGTTTATCTGAAATAGAGCGCATTTCAATTGAGTATTGAGCGAAGGAAAATATTTTAAAAAGCCGAAGAAAAACAAACCGTTTAAAGCGCGGGAAAATGCGGGTAACCAAGTCCCGATTGATTTAGGTTTGAATCTAATGGTTGCATGAAAGGTTGGCGTGAGTTTTCTGAGCCAATTACATTGTGAAGTGAAGAAAAACAAAAGCAATCCAGAATTACTTTAAAAATTCAATTGAAAATTGTCCCAACAGTGATAAGTTGATGTATAGAGACATGACACATGTGGAAATTATATGATTCAAAAAGTTCACACCGATGACAAAGATACCTTGTTTTTTGAGACACGATGCACAAAATTGATAAACGATTTCATAGAGGCCTAATGAACCTTAATCATGTGGATGCCATAATTGTCCGAAGAGGAATTCCCGGAGTTCATAGCGAAGCATACAAACTTTCATACAAACTTTCATCATTCAGTTGGTACTCTTCTAGAATATAACATGAGCAGTACTACGGATCTCCGCGCTCATGCTTGATAAGAAGAGATCTAGCGGATTCTAAGAACCAAGTGATTTTCCTACCTCCTGATTATATTGAAAAAAAACGATGACGAAAATTGTTCGGTTTCCAGGAAAGGAAACGGAAATGAAATGAAACGTTTTGCGTGTGACCTTCCTACCTGCAGATTTAGAGTCGGATACATCATCCGTGCTCTGCGCTTTATCAATATGAAAACTTCCACCGTCGTCCCTGCAGAAACGATATAAAAGATTTTTAAACATTAAAGTGGTACCACGCAAAATTTTTACACGAAAGAAGAGTTCTGCATTTGATTGGTTGAAAAAGTGGCACCTGATTTCTTCACTCATTAAAGAGCGCAGTGAATAAAAACCACTACAGTCTTGATAATGGTTAAGAATATATGAAAGTCATATATTTGAACTGCGGATAAAGACGTGAATGAAAGTGATCCTCGCTGTAATGTGCACTACTTAGGCAGTAGTGAAAATAAGGCCTGAAAAAAATTCAGGCCTGTACGGGATTTGAACCCATGACCTCTGCGATACCGGTGCAGCGCTCTACCAACTGAGCTAAAAAGCCTAAGTAGTGCACATTACTGCGAGGATCACTTTCATTCACGTCTTTATCCGCAGTTCAAATATATGACTTTCATATATTCTTAACCGTTTATTCATCACTTCACGGGTTTATTTAGAACCAACATCATAACCAGCTCCCAGTTGGCTTGTTAGCTCGGTTGGTAGAGCGCTGCACCGGTATCGCATAGGTCATGGGTTCAAATCCCGTACAGGCCTGAATTTTTTTCAGGCCTTATTTTCACTACTACCTAAGTAGTGCACATTACTGCGAGGATCACTTTCATTCAAGTCTTGATAATGTTCAAGACGTCTGTTGGCTTCATTCAGATCGCTTAGTTATATCATTGCGTACCTATCACCTCTGATGAGCAAAGTGGGAGTCAACTCTGGTATAGCATCCGAATGTCGTGCAGCCATTGATATTCTCCGTAGCTCTGTTATTGTTACCCCTCGTCTTCTCAAACGGATCTCTAGTTGAGATATCTCCTCTTCTTTCTAAAATATTTGCGACAAATAACTCATGGAGACTCAAAATATTCCAATTAACAACATGCTAAAGATCCCTCAGTAAGGGGGGCGAAAGGACTTCGTAAAATGACCAATAGAAATAGGGTCCGCCCAAAACGAATAACTCTTTTCGAGGCTTCAGTAACATAGGAGGTGGAGGTGGATTTGTGAGATTATGGGAAGTCTGTCACTTAAGTATCTAAAATGGTCTATAATTTAATTATCGGAGACAAATGCATTTAATTGGTTATTTACTCAAGGAATATCATCACTCCTTGGAAAGTATAAGAAAGAGCAAGAGTTTTTTCAATACTAGTTTATGAGGTATGTAGGGGAGGTGACCCTTCGAGCAGAGCCTCCTCGATGAAAGCTTTTATGACCTTCCCCTTGCGCTCGGCAAGACTCGGTCTCTAGTCTCGTTTTCGTTCCTCCTTTGGCGAGGAGAGTGGGATCTTCTCCCAAGCAGTGACTGGCTATGATCCCCAACGTTCAATGACCTTAAAAAGTTAAATCACTGTTAGGCCACTAGTTCATTATCAGAGATGTCAAAGGTTTAAAATAGGCCCAGATATGGCTTACCTCAGCTACCAGGGTCTTGAGGTTGGAATTCTCGGCAGCTAAGGCGATGAACTTGGCCCCTTTTATTCCTTTATCTTGTGAGGTTGATGACTCACCGCTGCTTTGACTCGCGGATGTGTTCGTTGCACCACTTGTGTCCAAAACATTCGGATTTCGTTTCACTGCTATGAACTTTAGAGCCGAGAGAGGAACGAGAAAATTAATAGACCAATTAGATTATCTGCTCCGTGAATAAAGAAGCCGTATAAAAGGCACCAACGCAACCTTAACAGTGCTATTCTTGTTCAAGGTGCGAAAAACGAGGAGGGTCGTCGGGTGCTCGGTTGTCGAACAGTCCGTTGGACGATCCTCGTTTCCATACCGCTGATAAAAAAGAACTAGACCCTTAGGCTAGAATGTGGTTTCACTGATACTGCGCCTGCGCAATAGAGGGTTGGTGTTTAAGCTTATTTCATCATGAAAGCCAGCCCGAAATGTTTGAAACTCTAATGGAGCAACTTATACCATCCCTCACCTTTGGAACAAATACTAAGCACAACGTCACTGTAGTTGAGAAGATAACGAAGAACGCCGTGAGGGCGAAAGAAGCATCCTGCGCATGCTCGATCATCAATGCAGCAGGGACACCAACCACACTCAAGATGACAACGTTGTACACAGACATTCCAACATAGCGCGAGTCGTTTAGGGCGGGAATTTTCACGTGTCGAGTCTCCCACGCGAGGAACACTCCAAACAAAAGTAGCAGGCCTTTAGTGGCAAATAAAACACCAAACCATATTGCCTTGTGCTGGCAGTCACAGTATTCCCACTGAGGCAATGTGTCGTACTCTATTCCATGCTACAAAAGAGTTAAAGCAAAAGTTTAAAAGGGGGGGGAACCAGGAATTTTTCATAGAAATCTTCCGGGCTTTGATTCAGAAAACAAAGGAAATCTTTTTACACCAGAGCCTAAGTAAGCTTGAGTTGTAACATAAGATCCTGACGTTGCGAGAATTTGTTGTCAGACAACAAGCAAAACAATTTTTAAAAAAACCACCCCACAAGTCTTATAGGGGAATGGGGGGAGGGGAAGTCCAGACCTCCTGGACCATAATTATCATGGATCATAGACTGAATGAAGTTGATGGGTTTCTGGCATAAGAATTCCTTACAAGCTGGGATACAGACAGTCTGGACTACAATTAGCTTAATGATAGGGCAGAAATCAAGGGGAAGATAACCAAACCTTTTTTACCTTACCTCAATGGTGCCATTTTGTAGCCTTCTTGTCAGATGGTCCGCTCCACTCCAAACGCTGAGGGTTAAAACATCGACCAACAGCAGAGCACCAACAAACATGAAAAGTTTTCCATCTTTGATAACCTATCAATCAAATAGTCAGTCGATCAATCAATCAATCAATTAATCAATCAGCTCTCCAGTCAATTACTCAGTTACTCAGTCGACTGACCAATCAATAGATAAATTAATCAATGAACAGAACATGTATTTCCTCGTGGTTACTGTATGTACTCGATTAAACTCTACGGCGTTAATTAAATATCAAGTGTTTCCGCTGCAGCGGGTACTCGAGTGAATAGGGTAATTTTGATTTCATATGTGAACAGTCATCTGGTTAATGCTCTATCTCGGTCTGTCTTCACAAGAGACTTGCAAAAGAAAGGAGGTAGGGGAGGTTAATTTCGGAAGTAGGTGCAACCCTTAGAAATGTTTTGCGACGCTGCTGGTTTGCCGAAAAAATACAACTGACGAGACAAAAAAACAATACCTGTAGGAAAGGGGAAAAATGGTTCCCTTACCTTTTTCCTTAATTTACGGTTGGTGAATATGACGTAAACTCTCCATAATTTGGCAAACATGGCGCCAAATGCGGTGGTGAAACCAAGTGAAGTCAGCCATATTCTTGCCTAAAGCAGAAAGATGAATCGAGTTTTTGATTCAGTATTGAAAGGGATCCCGGTTTGTACGGGTTTTTATTTTACTTTGCTTAGTGATTGGTCAAGGAAACTCGTGCCACCATATCAGCCGATCATATGCAAAACTAAAGCCAATCGCGATTTGGTCACTCGCGTTTTCCCGCGCTTCAACAAGTTGCCTGTTTTTACTTTGAGTTCTCATTGGTTAATGATGACGTCAACCTTTTTTCTGATTGGTAGTCGTAAAGACTTCACTTTTTAACCCTCTACACCCTAACATGAGTCTCCGTTTTCTCCACGCTGTTCTCTCTACATCTCCTAATGTGCTGACAAAGAGAATTTGTTCAATAATCAAGAGCCTCTTTAGCTGGTGATCATTTGCTTTATTCTTTATGACCTTAACGTGTGATTCAGGAGTGATATTGTAATGAGAAATTAGATTCTAGTCACTCTTAGGGGCCAAAGGGTTAACACTCAATTTAAAACTGCTCTGAGTAATTACTTATGGATTACAATTTGAAGACCATTAATTTTAAAAGACAACAGTTGATAATAATAATGTTTGGATCTTACCTGGCAATTACTAGAATATCGATCAGGTGATATCAGGTTACCATCCAATCCAAACATAAATACTGATAGATACATAGCGATACATCCTATAACAATGGTGTTATTAAGACGAGGGCTCGACATCTGAATGTACCTTTTAGTAAAAATTGAATGCAGAGGTAAGGAACTGACGAGTTGGAAATCTTCAAACTAAATTTGCGTCTGCTAAGAGGAGAAAAATCTTCGAGTTACCTGTAATTCCGAAGTTTGATGTTAAAACCCAGGAAGCAAACTACCAGGATAATACAAAGAACAGTGATTGCACACACAACTCCATACAGCTCAGGCGATATGGTCATCAACTTACATACGAGCCTGGCACTATCAGATGGTGGACCAGTTCCTTGGAAACATAAACAACAACACCTGATTTCGTAAATATAGCTTTAAACGAGTACATACACGATCGTGATCCTCACCATTATCGTCATCGTTGTCAAAATCAAAATCATAATCATGATCGCCATCGTTATCATTAGTATCATCGTCATGTCTTAATCTTTGTCATCATCATCGTAATCATTAGCATCATCGTCATCGTCATGTCGTAATCTTTGTCATCGCCATCGTTATCATTAGTATCATCGTCATCGTCATGTCGTAATCTTTGTCATCGTCATCGTTATCATTAGTGTCATTGTCATCGTAATGTCGTAATCTTTGTCATCGTCATCGTTACCATTACTATCATCGTCATCGACATGTCGTAATCATTGTTGTTGTCATCGTTATCATTAGTATCATCGTCATCGTCATGTTGTAATCTTTATCATCGTCGTCATGTCGTAATCTTTGTCATCGTTGTTATTAGTATCTATGTCATCGTCACATGCTATTCTATATTGACTGAATACTCTCGACCAATTGGAGTTTTTAAAGTAAGTCTAATGTAAAATAATCCCCATTGTCATCGTCGTTTTTATTGTCATCGTCGTTTTTATTGTCATCGTCATCATAATCTCCACCTTTAATTAACCTACCTTGCCAGATAAATCTAGATGCAGGGACGTCGAGGATGCTATCATTTTGTTGCAGATATAAAGAGACAGTACTTTCCTTCCAATCTTAAGGAACAAAAATTAAAATATTTATTTGATATGAGATATGTGAACTAAGATCTCAGATACTTTCGATAGTGTTAGCATAATTTATGAGAACAACTGTTTGCGACCTGAATTTGTTTCCTACAGGTCTTCTTCACGGAAAACGCACTAATGGCAGGTCACTCAAAGCAACGTACCAGACCTGACCAGACATGTGCCTCGTGCGCAAGGAAATTGGTGCGAAAACAATCACTTTATCGTGTTTCTTGGTTGTCAGTATAGAGGAGGTTGGTTTTGAACCTTCTCATCGTTGCATATTGTCATGCACTCTATTGGCTGTATATCTATTAAGTAATTACATACGATCACATAGAATATTAAAGGAAATATTATTGCTTTGATTCTCTCTCTAACCTTGTAGCTGCTCAATCTTCATGTAACCCATGCGATCTCCTCTGGATGTAAATTGCACCGGTCCCTTGAAATGAATACAGCATGAAGGGTTAAATGTTGCCTTTTGGATTGACGAGGATGAAAAAAATCTCCCCCAGGGATTTCTATTTTCCTCCAAAACTTGGTGCACCTGTCCATTATGGAACTCCGAGAGAGCAAAAAAATATTCAAGAATGTTTTTTACTTACTGTGAGACCTTGGAATTGGGTTTTATTCAAATAACTCTTGAATTGCTTCATGATATCTTCATTAACATAAGTGAAATTGACTATGGACTGGGGAGGATTTAATCTTCTGAGATGTTCCTCGGTCATATTCAGAGCCAATGCGATGGCCCAAACCGCGTCGTATGCAAATCCACCATCAGTCTTCGACAATTCCTTCTTAGTGATGTTTTGGTACCGAGAACTTAGCTGCCCAGGAGACTAAGAACAAATTAAACATGGTTGAGTCATGATCAGCCTTACGCCTTTTGACATGACGGATGAAACAAAGATAATTACAACTTCCCCTGAACAAGACTGCAACAAATGGAGGGCAAAGGGGTAGTCGCCTCCCAAACAATATTCAAGCAAGATTTTTTAAGTCTTCTCTTTTTCTTTTTGTGAAGTGGTAAGCTTGAATTTTATTGATTCGCCCGTCTTTACGACCAGCGGCACTCGTGCACTTCTTTGTGCACCCCACCACCCCCGCCCGTCTTTGCCGAACGGGATCTCAGTCCATCTCAGGTTTACATGTGGCGAAACATTAAAAAAATATATCGTAAACTAAAGCTGAAATTAATTTCGATACTTGTCCAGATACTGTAGTGGTGTTGTCTGGATTGATCTTTAAGTTGTCGCAGGAGATGTATCCATTTACAGCTTTATTCATCTGTTCTACGGTACATCCTATGGACTCTTCGTCTAAATGTTTCTTCCACCAGTTCTCACTAAACCAGCCTGGTATAAGCCAAGCATAGCGAGCACCATACATCTCGTTTTGAAACGCCTGAGGGAGTTAACAGGTAGACTTTTAGAAAAAAACTTCAGTTATTATCATGAAAAACTTAATGGTTTGTTTTCACCTCCATGGTGCCTACCGACTTTATGACCGTGTCATTCTGAAGATCATTTTCGTGATTGATATTAAGACTTAGAATTTCATGACACGGGACTTTAGAAAAAGAAATATTCTCCATGTAAAATTTTGCTACACTGTAGTTTGATGAGACTTTTTAGAGTAACCTAACTGTTCAAAAATTGGCCTGAAACTGGGCTATGAATTCGACTACGGAAGTCGTCATTTTGAAAACAACTTAGTAACCTGGCTGCATATGCAAAACCAAATGAACGAATCACAAACAGAAGGTGCTGTAGCTTGTGAGTAGATAGCCTTTTCGTAGCTCCTAATTTCTTACAAAAAACGCTCAAAGATGAAGGCAGAAATAGGAAAGGAGTGAGAATCTATTACGTTCAAAGGTAAGCTAGTAGCGCGGTCAGGTGCTGAGCTAGATTCTAAATAGCAGCGTCTTTATGTATTCGAGATGTATTCCTTAAACTTCTAAAGGACAGTGATTTATCTAGAGCTCAGAATACGAAATGAGGAAAATTGATGACGGAAAGAGGAATAAGGATTATAAGGCTTCTGTGAACGAGTTACCTGACATAAAACCTTTCTTGCACTTTTCTCATCAAAATTTCCAAGAATTATTCTGGCTTCTTTCTCCTAGATGGATGACCAACAAAACGAAAATTAGGAGCTTAGTTAGAAGTCTTCCCAGTACAATACATAAATACGTCCTCGTGAAATTTTAGACTTATGTTTAACAACAGTTAGTTGCCTTTTACCGATAAGCTCTTCACTTGGGCAGTGGGATCATCTACAAAGGTCTCTGACGTAAGGATCTGAATATCTGCGTTGGCCAGTTCTTCTTGTAGGTCAGCAGTAGTCTAGGAAAAATGTTTAAGTAATCGGTTCGTCAGGTTAAGAGTCTTACTTCTAAAGATGACCTTTATCTCGGAGACTTATGAATGACGTTTCGACACCCTAGGCGGAATTCATCATTTGAGTCAAGTCTGCTGATTTCCATCCATGCAACCGAAGGTCATCTTAAGAGTATTTTTATGACTTTCGGTCAGGTTTTCAAAACGTCATTCACTGTCGCCGACAATCATCTCTTTTCTGGACCATCACGCTGCAAAATTGGCTAATATTCCTGTGTAGAAGAAATTTGCTGTAAAAATTAAAAAATGAGTAACACAGATTATGTGATCAGCTGAATCTTACACGTTTTTTGATTAGTTTCGACTGATGATCTTTTGGAGGTTAGACGCATGGATAACGTCACCATTAACAACCTTTCGCTTTTTTGTAACATAAAGCAAACAGCTTCTATTTTAATGTTGCCATGGATCTGACGTCAAAATATGGTAAGAATATCAGTGAGACCCTTAGCTGCGCCTCGTGGGTAACTTTTTTGTTTATACCACGAACAAAATTTTTGAATGATCTTGGCTTTGCCCAGTTTCCCGTTGGCCCCATTTCTTGCGGGCGCAAGAAGAAATTGTCTCACCTCAGAGTTAATAATATCATTCTGCCCTATCAGTCCAACTTTTAACCAGTTGAATTTTCTTAGAAGGGCCACACGAGCCTTATTACACGCAGCGTCAGATGGTATTGTTCGAAAGAACAAAGGATATTTCTGTTTCTTTGATAAGGTTGGAGACGTTGATCCATAGGATACCTGTGTATCAAGAGGGTAAGGCATAGTTTATAAGAACTTTCATACAGGAAACGGTTTGGAGAACAGAGAGCAGAAGTAGCAGTTGACTGTGTGGTCTGATTGTTCGGGCGAGAGTATTCCTGAGAAGAACTGCCGTCGGTGATTGAATCTTCGTCAAAGTCAAATGGGATCTGCTGAAGATTTTCGCTCAGGTTGCGGAATAAAGATGAAGTAAAAACTTTTCTTCTGAGAAAGATTGAATTACAGCAGCTGCTAGCGCTGCCAATCAGCTTGACTCAGTTAACCACATTTTTAAATAACATCAACATCAAATTATAAATTTTTTTCATGATTTAAGGAATTTCCTCTGATGCAATCAGTTTCTTTTTCAATAATAGTAACTACTTGATTGGTCTTAACACCTTGACCCATGGTCCATATTGATGACAACTTTTCATTCGACTTCGGCAAAATAAAACAGACTGTCAATATTTTTCCCAATAATGTGCGACAGCAGGCAGGAGCTCGAGGCAAACATTCACAGCTAAATGTGGAATCTAACTCATTCAATTCATGCTTGCACCAATGAATATTTAAATTTATTTCAGCAGGCGCTTGCTAAGAAATAAACTAAATTGATTTTGTTTTTGTTTTTGTTTTTTTTGCCTCTTGTCTGTATTCTTCCCAATCATGTACTAGACAAAGTCTGATTGCCTCACCTTCTTTTCCCACTTACCACTTGTTTATATCGGCTTCCTTTTTTTTTCAGCTTTCATTCGATTTCGTGAAAAGTTTTGTCTATTTTCTCAAATAATACTTTAACTAGTAACTACCTATTAGGCTTCCCACCTTCCGAAAGGGCGTAAAATAACAGCAGGTTAGTGTCAAATTATTTTAATCATTTTCATAATACTCTTATTAAAGGACATAAAACGTACGTCTCAGCTCGTTTGTCTATTTCACTTCCGAAAACTCTCAAACGAATCGAAAGCGCCTCTTAAAAGGTGCCAGCTTGATATCAGCTCCGATTCATCACTTTTCTTGAACCCTAAACTTTTCACGGGATTTTTCAAATGATAATATTAGATTGTGAATCCTGTCGAAAGGATCATTCACGCGAGTGAATGAGACAGCCATAGCGTTTCGCCGTAACAACGACACTGTCATTTTGTAATTGCAAAAATTTGAGCGAAACTGGCCTATGTACATGGAAGTTGTGATTAAAGTAAAATAAAATGAATGAAAGTCAAAAACGTTGATTAAAATCATTGTTGCTGGGTTCGTGCTGACTTAATCACAATCCTTGAACGACCGGGCATTGTTAAAATTAATAGGTAATACAAGTTGTTTAGGCGAAGCTTGAGTAATAAATTGGCACCTAAAGGATCATCTTCCCTGACAAGCTTATTAATTTTTTCATGTGATTGCTATTGGGATCTCTTAATCTGTTATGAGCAGTTTGAAAGGCAAGGCAACTATTTGCAAAATGAAAAGCTCAAAATCCGAGAACGAAGCATCAGATTTCTTCATTCAGACGAAGTCAAACTATTTTGAATCAATAAATTGCGTAAAATAATCGTATAAACAATGCTTGTGTATTTTAGGCGTCCCTAGTTTATTTAACTTGTTATTTAATTCATTTTGTTCTCAGACATATTTCTACTCCCTAGTGGAAATCTTTCCTCTAAATTTTAGAATGACGAGTAAACAAAGGCATCGAACTGAAGCACAAATTATATTTTACAAGGCAGTCGTTAACCGAAATTAATACCTTCCAGAGTGCCAAAGAAATGAAATATTAAAACGACACGGCATGCAAACAAGAACGATTTACCATAACAACTGAGCAATTTTTTCGGTGAAGTTGATTTCGTTTTAAAGGTTAAACTTTGACCTACTCTTAAATCATTAATGTAAGCGCTTTCACCACCTCGGAATTTAAATTGAGGAATGATGCAACCTTCAGCTGACATTCTGCATAAAGAAATGAGTGTAGATAGTTTGAAATTAAAAGTAGATGAAAGCTTAGATCATAAGCATTTGACGATCAAAGCAATTCTCCAAATCTGTGTAAAACTGCCGCATAGCGCAGTAGTTTAAATATTTCGCCAGAGCGGTGCTCTAGTTCAATTTGACATTACAAGAACTTTTTAATTTAGTTAATTTGTTGCAAAGTTCTGCATGGCGCGACTTTTAACCTCAACCAATCTCACTTTCTGATTTTCCTCCGTACAGAAACACTCCAAGGAAGTAAAATAACATACACTTCTCCTCTTGCTTTAAAAACATTTTGTGTCCCTGATTAAACATATACCGCGTCATGTCTTATGACTGTGCTGTCATCTCCATTTCTAATCCTGTTGATACAGTTGGCCCTGTTGTCGCTCTTGTTCTGCTGGCCGACTGTGTATATAGCACTCGATCGCGTATCAACTCGCGCAGACTAGCTTTTAATTTACTACTTCGGAGCATGTAAATTATGGGATCGAACACGGGCGTTAGCAGGACGGCCGATTCAGTGAGCGGATACAGCAAGTGAAAGAAATAATTCGCATCAATTGCTTTTGATTCCTGAATTATTACGACCGCAATTGTCGGCAAGAAACAAATTACAACTGCGCCAGCTAAGTAAGCAACTGTCCTTGACGACTTCGTCTCTTGAATGTCTGCGGTATTTCTTTGCGTTGTTAACTCATGGCCTATTGATACACGAATCCGTCGAGTCAGGCAGTAAACTTTACAGTACACAAAAACTGTTAGTAAAATACATGGAATAAGGAGGATTGCAGCTATAACACCAAGTGTACCCGAGCGCGCTTCCGGAGAAAATCGCACAAAAGTTATAAACGCGACCCATACGACCCAAACGAGGGAAATTGTTATAGCGATGCGACGCTTTGTAACGAAGGCTTGATATTTATAAGGGTGAAATATGGCGAGATATCTTTCTAATGTGATGAGAATTATTGTTATCACAGACAGGCCAGTGAACATGAAATTTGTGTACGTATACATGACCAAAGCGATACAGGAGAAATCTTGCATGGGAGTCGTCAACTTGCTTCCATGATATGCAATGAAAGAAGGATGCGTTACCAACCCTGTTAACAAATCCGAGGTAGCGAGGAACAAAATTGAAGTATTGTAAACGTTTCGTAACTCCGGTTTTCTTAAAACGCCAAGGAACACCATGACATTTGCAACAATTGCACAGGGACATGCCAATGCCATAAGTACACAAGTAAATACGGTCACAGAAGTCGTTTTGTTGTCTGGTTCATAACGCACGGTATTAATCACCAACGGGCGAAGATGGTAACACGCTGTCAATGGCAAAGAAGTCGGCGTGCTTGAATTGTCCATTTTGGCTCAGATTCCTTCTTTCCTTGAATGCAGTCACCATAGATGATGTCTCGTATTTCAGTGATCGAATTGGTTTATGCAAATAGTCGTCAAGGAGTATTACTCGGTTCTGACACCACTCAGTCTTCGTGTTTGAAAATTTGACATGCGAGCAAATCAATTCGGACACTTCATGTCGTATTTCAAAATTATTTGCTTGGTAAACCTTTTAGGCAGCTAGAAAATAAATATTTCCAAGAATTTAAATCTCTGATTGGTGCAAACTCATTTCCGCCTCAAAAACACGTGAACTGAGTTGTAACGCAATCTGCTGAGACAAACAGGTTACTTCTCTGAGTTGACTCGATTTTTTCTAAATAAACATGTGTCAACGAGGTATATTTTATGGCAGTGCTTGACAAAATCTGAACATTTTTATCTAACCCCGAAATGAACAAAAGTTAGCGAAGAAATTACAGTAATCCCCTTTAATTTCGTTACTAAGCCTAATCCCATGGATTCCTTTTGTTTTTTCTTGAATGAACTTAACACCTGCTCTTGACAATTATCACTCCAAAAAAAAAAGGAAAAAAAAAAAAAACAGCGAAATAGACTCGCGTTTGTTGCCACTCTACCACGAATCTAATTACCTCATCCACAACTGAATGAAAGACGTTTTATTTCATCGACGATGAAGGCAGTCTGATAAACAAGGAATTGGTAAGATGCATTTTGGCACATTGGCACTTCGGCGCTCAAACAGATAAAAATTACTGTCGGGTATCTATGCAAATTTCTTAATCAGCTATTGCTAACATTTCGTCTAAGTATTATATGGCGATCTGCTCAACAAGATTAGTGATGATTATTTTTTCATTAGGAAGCAATCACATTTTGAAAAATGTTTTGGCGCCCAGCAAGCGTCTTTTATCTACTGTAGAAACCTTTATGTCAGAGAATACTTGCAAATATGGTCACAAAGGTGTACTCGAAGTTGTCACAGTGAAAAAGTAAGCAATTTCCTCGTCAGTTCCCTTAACAGCTCTCAAGCTAAGAGTGTGCAAATTATGTTAAGTTTGTACGCAAATTATGTTGCAACTCGAAACTAGCCTCCGATCTACGTTCACTTACGCAAATAAACAGCGAGCATAACAAGGTTTTAAGCTGGCTTGATTGCAATATTAGATCGCGTCTAGAAAAACATTACAACAAAAGCCAAACAAAAAAACTGCGCAAGGAAATAGCGTAGAGCAAAAAACTTTTCATTTGCAAATCATCGATTTAACTTTCGTTTGCTGAACCCGATTTTGCACATAGAAATTTAAGCAGTTTTTGCTTGTACGTGCTCAGAATTTCAAACGATTGTTGGCGGTATCAGCTGTATTTGTTTAAGACGTAAATAGCAAAGTTGGCTCAAGGGCAATTTTCATCGACCGTAAAGAATCTTTTTATCGTTGAAAATCTTATCAATATTGATTACTGTCAATTGAAACCTTAATAATTCGACACCACTTTGAAAACTGAACACTGTATTTTGACCTAACTTTTTACTTTCTTTCGAAACGTTCCTAGATTAATTTTTTTTTTTTGAAATTCTCGTTGATTTTTGGGTCAATCTAACCTCTAATCAACTATTTCAAGAAAATTTTTTCAAAATCTCTTTTAAGGAAAAAGCTCTCTAATACAGTGACTATAAAAGTGGAATTGACGTTTATGACGATAGAACTAAGTAAGGAAGACTTGAAATGTCGCCTGTTCCAGCAAAATACTAAACAGCGCGATATGAGCGGCAGAGCGAGAACATGCGAAGGCTGGATCGGGTCGCATCCGACTCAGATCTTCCTTGGTTTTTTCACTTCTCCGTTTCTATCGCGCCGAATATCATATCACACCTCTTTTTACTAACTGAAAACCTGAAATTGGCTTCTCAAAGAGTGACAATGACAACAATAGTGACAGTGACACAGCAAAAGCGACAGTGAGAGCAAGAAAAAACCCACTCACGCCAACAGTGACACTGACAAAAACAGTCACAACAGATTGACCGTGGAAAAAACAGTCACACCAATCCTAGCAGTGGAAGTGACAAAAGCAGTCACGCCAACAGTAACAGTGATAGTAACAAAAACAGTCACACTAACAGTAACAATAACAGTAACAACAACAGTCACACAAGCACAAAGAGAGAAAAATACAGTCACAATGAGAGTGATAGAGACATTGATTCACACCAGCAATGACAGTGACAGTGCCAAAAACAGTCACACCATCATTAACAGTAGCAGTAACGGCTTCGGTGATAATGACAGCGATTGTAATAAGAAAAAAGCAGATTCCTCAACTTCTTCGACTTCTATTTACATCATCAGTGACTATTGTAGTAAAAAGCTCTCGTGAGTTGATGACAACGCAATCAACGTTCGCGCAGTAAAACACGGACAGCCGTTAGGAGAACTGTTGCTGAGTTACTTACCATGATAAGATTCCAGGTCTTTGAGTCCTCCGCAATTCTCTCTGACACCGCAGAACACCCCGCTCCAAGTAAAGCTATCATTGTTGGTTCTTTGTTAATCATTTCAAAAAGAGCGCGAGAGGCATGGTCCATTCTGCACTAAATTGATAAAACAGTGATCAGAACAGTTATTTAGTTTCTCAGACAACCGCAAGTTGAGGAAAACTGACTTTAACTTTTTGAGCGAAGGTATGTTGCAGTAGGATTTTTTATTAAAGAAAAGACAAAACAAAAGCCTTGGTTATGTTTAAATTTTCCTTATCGCATGCAATACTTTTAAAGCTCATAAATTTTTATCCTGTATCGTCTTATCTGAGAATAGAACCCTTTAGAAGGGACATCCAAGTTGATTATGAGGGGGGGGGGGATTTCCCCATTCCTTCCTTCTGTTACTCACGTACAATTTACCCTTTGTCCCAGTGGGTTTTAAAACTCGACTGAAAAGTAAGCAAACAACCATCAGGTGTTCTTGAATTCGTTTCCTCTCACAAGCGATCGGAAAGCTGCTTCTTTTTTTTTATGTATTGTTAGTTACAGTGGAATACTGATAAGTACCATAAAAATCTGCACCGGCCGGGGAAATTTTCAAGGTCAGTAAACACAACACCAATGTATGAGTTTTATCCAACATAGAAACTTTGCACAAACATTGAATCGGAGTATAAGTTTTAATATAGGGAGTACATTTCTAAAGAAAACTGTGGTGCTGCTTCGGTGGGAGAGTAGAACAAGGTAATTTGGTCTCATCAACCAAGTTGTCATAGAGTTGATAACATAAATTAACCACCGTTAGGAGTTTCAGAGCCGACGTTTCGAACGTAAGCCCTTCGTCAGAGCGAAGGACGAAGGGCAAACGTTCGAAACGTTAGCTTTAAAACTCATAACGGTGGCTAATTTACGTTTTCAACTCAGTTGATAATATCAAATTACGTTGTTCTAAGTCTTCATATCCTGCATGAAATCGTTCAGTTGGCGCAGAGGGAGATAACGGCCATAGCAACCTAGGTCACTGGTTTACAGGAATGGGTAATAGATATCTGCGCCCTGCGAGAATGTTGCACCTTAGGCACAAAATCGGCAATAGCATTGCTAAGGCAATTAAAATAAGCTTATTTCCATCGAAGACATTAGCTAGGCTTTCAGAACTGAGCTTATAGAAGACAATTAATTAACTTAGAAATCAGACAATGGCAACCTTCAGGAGTATTTACAATAGAGCATGATATGGACACTAAGCAGATTATTGGATTATTGGAGTTATAACTCTGCTTGAAAACTTCAAAGTCTGTTCTCAAAGTTCAACTTGATCATGACGTATCCAGGGTACTTTACGGTGGTGTTAATACGGTTCCGAGTATATCGATAATTTGTTGTCATTTATGAATGTAAAATGACAAGCTTTATATATTTTGTATCACAAAGTGTTACTATCTTTGTTGAATTTGGCCAAGACACAGATCAAAGCTAGAGTTTATATTTTAGGTATACAAGACAGTAAATTCATTCTAAATACGTTCTGTTGTTGTGATATAAGCCCAGATATTCACCATTTTGCAAAGTGAATATAACTCAAGGTAGCCTACATTTAGGACTTAAAGCCAACACCGCGTTTTCTCTAGCTAAACTTAACACATTCGTGTTAGAATACCGCCTACCTTTGTATCATTTGCGTGAAGTTGTAAGCTATAGCCATTCGGTAAGACTTTTTGTTTTTCCACATCTTCTATGGCCATGGAAACGGCAGCCCGAATAAACTCGCCTTTCATTGAGCTCTTGCTTCCATTAGACAATCCAGTGAAGGGAAAGAAGCCGCCAATATGAAGAGTTTGAAGAGCAAACGTTTCTTGCACTATAAAGATTTTCGCTACTTCGAGATACAGGAATGTCACGAGAATACTAGCAGAGATCATTACTTTGACGAAAGAAATCTCATGAGATAAATTGATTAGTAGTTCGAGTGGTGAAATCAAATGTTCTCGTCCTCCGCAAAATCTCGAATTATATTAGCTCAGATATGAAAGCCTGCACTGTTAAAATCAACTTTGTTTTCGCATGAACTGTTTACAAAATTAGTAAGCAGAATGTAATGACGCTTATGTACGTTCGTTAAGCCTTTTTGACATGTTAATGTGACGAATATGACAGGATTTGTTTACTTGAGTCGAAAGGTCGCGTCAAATGTGGTCCATTGAGTGAACAGTATTGAACCGATATTTCCGATGAGCCCTTCCTTCCTTCCTTCCCTCCATACATCCTTCCCTTCGCTAGCCACCTCGCTCCTGGCTCCTTCCACCTCACTTTCCGACCTTTCTCCCTCCCTCTCTGGCTTCCTCGTTCTCTTTCTGATTCCCTCTGTTGTCTCCTTCCAGCTCCCTCCTTTCCTGACCCCAATTGCAGAAAAACGGAAAAATTGTTCATTTGAAAGAAGGCGATTTATGCAGTGATGCATAGTGGGTGAGCTGCTACCATTCAAGGTATCGTAACGAGGGTTACAATCTTTACTTGATTTATTGATTTCACTTTGATATCATTTTAAGCAAACAACCGGAAAGACTATTATTTCAACTAAAATCAGATATTTTATAAAAATATATCTAATGATAAAAGAGCGAACAACTACTGTCTAATACGATAACACTGTGCTTAAATTAACATTTTAAATCTTCAACCAGACAAGCCAGATTTTTTAAAAAATATTTTGGCTGGGGCGCGTGGTCTTTAGGGAAGTGACTCTTCCTGGACGTAAGTATATCGATAAAGTTTAATTACAAATTGCTTGCTAAAATTTACGAAGTATAAAAAAGCTACTGGCAAGCTATTTCAGTCGGGGGAATACAAAACCCTGTATGGAAATAAGTATCAAGTAAGTACGTATACCCGTGTGTCAAAAGTACATCTCGCAATTTTGGAGAAAACCACGATGTTTTAGCGTGAAGGAAATCACAAATATTGGTTCAGTAAGATATAAAAACAACTTTATATATAAAAAATCATTAAGGAAATAAAATGGCTGGGATAGAGAAAATTGACGAGGATTAAGAATTTCAAATTTAAAAATCTGAGCCCTAAAACTTGTTATGCATAATTACTTTTAGCGTGATGGAAACCACAAAATATAATTTCATTAAGATAGCTGAATAACAAAATATGGAAAATAAACCATGAACGAGAAGGGATGGTCAGGAATGGAGAGGCTTGACGCGGATTATGAAAGTTGTACTTAAAAATTTTCAGGCCCACAAATCGCGAAGAAACTACTGCTGAAAAAATTGTAGTCGACTGCAAGCAGTCTCTCGACTTCATGGCTGCCCAACAAAACTTTACAACAGATCTCCGTTTAAAAAATGAAGCAAGTAATTGACCTTTGTAAGCTGAAAATAATGACGAGTCTTTAACTGACAAAGAGCTCAAGACGCTATAATCAAGAGAGTAGCCATCATTTTAAAGACTCTGAAGGATGGAGTCTTCCTGGAATGACAATAAATTCTGCAAACAAGCCATCGCATCCAGAGGTATTTCATCTTACAGCCTCTAAATGATAGACTCTTCTTTCACTTTTCTTGCTTCGCAAATATTTACATAAGAGAAGTCAACAAAAGACTGAAGATTCAGATAACCCTGGAATGAATATAAAAAAGACAGTCTGTTTCAGAGAGGATAAAATTGGAAAGGGAAAGGCAAACCAGAGAGTATTATCTTAATGGGACTCGTAACGATCTTTAATTGTGAAAGCAGTGCTTTTTTGCTAAAGTCATGTTGGCAGGATAATAAGAGTTCCTGTCAATGTAAACTCCAACGCAAATCTACTAAATTCGTAATTTATCGTGTTACTGATTACTAAGTACACCAGTTCGAACATTTGGAAGGTACTTGGCATGTTTTGAGCCTTCTTTTGCTAAAAAAATTAAAGTTACCGTGGTTAGTTATCATCTCTTGTCATTCTATCTTCTCGGCCAGCGCTGCCCCTGAACTGCAATTTTCGAGCCTTATTTATTTAAGTCATTATAATTGAACGTTCTGGTTTTGTTTGCAGTAAAATTGAACCCAATACCGTTTGTTCCTTTTCAATTTTCTCCAAGGCCTCCTGCAAAGTCCCAAATGTTGGTCGCTTTTTAGGATCTTCGTTCCAACAAGAAAACATGACTGAAAATCTAAAACACGAAGACGTGAAAGGTCTGTAAATATGTATTACATCAACGAATACTAGGTTATAGGTTATAGAGTATTCCTGTACAACTGCAATTATTTTTAAGGAGTATCACACGACAAAGAAGAAGTCTCCTCACATTTTCGGTACATGCAAGCTCCTATATTGCGTTAGCGTAAAAAAAATTTAAAAATTATGGAATAAAAAAAAGGATGACTCGCAAAAGTCTAACTTGTTCACAATGATGATTAACCGTCTTCTGAAACCTGTGCTTTATCAATGGTGTGAATTGACACAGTGCATGCGTAACTGTGAGTCTGACACATTTTTTTTGGCTCTAAAATTCAAATCCACAATCCAATGGGTCGTTGAATCATTTTGATGCTCAACAGGATTTTTAAACTCAACTGACAAAAATTAAGGAAGGTTCAATAAACAATCTATCCTCTACGTTCTTGCAATGAGTATGGTGTATGTTTGTACTAACAGTTCCTTATCCAGTTGCTTTGGGCGTCGCATTCTGAATCCCTTCTCTAGTAAGTTCGCGATGTCACGTGCCTTAATTCCCGGATATGGCTCACCACCTAAACGAAAAAACAAAAAACAATCAGTAAAGTAAGACCAGCTTGGTTTCTAATAATAATGACTTTTATAATAATATTTTATAATAATATTTTATAATAATATAAAATAATATAATATTTTATAATAATAATAATAATATTTTATAATAATATTTTATAATAACTTTTCTTTCATGCAAGACAAAGTTATGACGATTTTTATTAATGGAGCAAATCGATTGAAGATTTCTTAATAGAGGTAACAGCTGCTTCTTATCCATAAAGATGTCAAGAGGGCTTTTACATAAGACGCCATGGATAATTTCCGAGTATTTGTTCCCCTCTTCCCAAATTCTAGAAGGTATCATATTACAAGCTGCCTCGTTTCTGTGAGCCTTCTCACCTAAAGTGAAAATTTCATACAAGACGATTCCATAACTCCACCTGAGGAAAGACGAATCTAAATGAGTAACAGAACCATGCACGAAAACAAATACGGACCTTAAAGAGGGTCTCAATGGGGTGATGGCTTTTACGGCTATCGGTTAAAATTTGGCCAATTTCCGGCTAACGGTTAACACCTTTCCATTGTTCCCACCAGAGATATTTTTTACGGTTAACTTTTTTTTTACGACTAACGGTTAAAATTTGTCAAATTTTACGTTTAACGGCTAAATATTTTGGCCGTTTTACGGCTAACGGTTAACCCCATTGGGACCCTTCTTAAAGGCACACGAAATGAGTCTTAAAATCATCAAGACCTGAGCTATACAGAAGCAACAACACGTCAACGGTGTTTTATTTTACACCATACCACCATCTGAACTGTCAAATATCGTGCCGGGCTAGATCATGTATTTGTAGATCTTTTTAAACCATAGCCCCGGCTATTAATCAACACAAACAAATATATTTACTTAAACATAAGTGTATCCCTCACATGATTGGTTTAACGACGTCACGTGTTATTGATCGCCAAGGCAGACGTCGTTATCCCCTGTTATATTTTGAATGTGCATTAGCCGGCATCACAGTGAGTTGATGTCGCAGTCATGACACATTTTTGGTTATAACAACTTTACAGAGCAGAACTTGAGAATAATGTAGAATTGAAACTCACACATCACTCTGGGTGGTGTATATGCCATACGAGAGAGCCTCGTAAGCTGTCCATTTGGCTGGTATCCGCCCCTAATGCGATGAAGACACAGCAATTTGATTTGACTAAAATTAACCAAATACCCGTCTTACAAATCAAGTTATTCTGGGCTAGTGGCCTAAACTGCCTGAGCTTACGTCATTGTGAATTTCATCCACCATGGGTAACAATATTCACCCCACCCCCACCCCCACCCCCACCCCTCTCTTCCGTGGCCAGTCGTTTCACTGAAAATTTGTCGGCACTCATTTTGTAGTCCTGGGTGGAAAGAGGCCCTTTGAGAGATGAGTCTCTTGCCCAAGAATACAACACAAAAACAAGATGGGGCCTTGAGCCCGGAGACGTCGAATGAAAGACCGACGTACAAGTCGATAGAACAGCTGCTTTCTCACATAATCGTTCATATTGTTATTGCACCAGAATGAACTGATTGGATTTTTATCGATTACCCCGGCTTTCATGGTGTAAATGTTACTTCCTTGCACATCTCTGGCCATTCCAAAATCTGTAATTTTGCAAACATTGCCATCTGCAACCAGAACATTGCGGGCAGCTAAATCACGATGAACAACCTAAAGAACGAAACAAGAACATATTTTGAAGATAAGGGTGAAGAAATATAGAAAGATGTTTTTTTGGTCTTGTCACGAGAGTGGGACAAAGAAAAAATTCTGAGTCCACATGAGGAATTCCTCATGGGGACTCAGAATTTTTTCTTTGTTCCACTCTCGTGACAAGACCAAAAAAACATCTTTCTATAAGAACATATTTTGTTGTCAACTGTTATATCATTTCACCCTTTTTCAAACAATTTTGAACGATGATCATTTTAGATGAAGGAATTTTTTCCGGTGACTGTAAATCCGGTTTTTGGTTAAAAATTAACCACCTCTGTTTCCCCCGTCACACGTCACTCCTCCGACTTTGCTGATTCTGAAAATAGACATCAGGAAGGGGAGACAGCGAATTCAAAGGGTAAGAGCTTCATACTCAAGGGGTCCCTGGCTCGGATCTCACTCCGATCATCAGATGGTTCTGTTCCTCGATAGTCCTGGGTTCAGCTCCTCGACCAAGATTGTTTACACCCAACTGGTAAGCCAGCTGAGGTTTTTCATTATGTTTTGTTCCATTAATGTGGGCCACGGGCTTATCATTGCATGTGTCTGCTACTATCAAATGTCATCCTTTATAAATAGAGCCTATCATTATAATTATTAATACTATTTTTATCAACATTATTATTATTTTATTTTTATCATCATCATCATCATCATCACAGGAAGCTGAGCATCGTTAGACTGATAGTTTTCTGTGCAAAAAGTAACGAGGCATCGTCCCCTTAGAGTAAGGCTCCATCCATCTACCGTCAGTAGATACTCAAAGTTATTTATTTTTCACCTTATTTTCGCAAAGGAAGTTCATTCCACTCGCAATCTGCCACGCAAACATCATCAGTTTCTTGGCGGTGACCCTGGTCAGTTTTTTACAGGTGTTATAATACGTGTCAGGAAGACCTCGACTTTTAAGAAGATAGCCCAGCAAATCGCCATGGGAGGCGAACTCCACAATCACCAGAGGATTAACTGTTGTATTAGATAATTTACATCAAAATTTGAACAAAGAATGCCGAGTATCATGGAATCATAACTCGTTATAAATTTCTGGAGACTTGCATCTCCCCTTCGATCATTCAGGTAATGTCTAGTAATGTAAAAGTGTTCAGTGCCTAACGTCATGCATGTACAAAGAAAGAAAAAGAATATTTAAGAAAATAAGGGTTTCGACGGGGTTCGTCGAGGTTTGAACCCTTGCCTTCCAAATACCTTCCAAAAAAACCTTAATGCTCTTTGTACATGTAGTTCTCGGGGTAAAAATACAAGATTATTTTGCAAGCTTCTGGCCTGGCTGTTCCGCTGTGAGTACAAAATCTACACTGCTATTATATGTACCAGATGTGGTGACACAGCCTAGAAGAGTCACGACATGTCGATGGTGGGGGAGTTTCTTCATAATTGACAGCTCTGACAACAGGTCTCGCCTGTCCGACTCCTCAGCATCCTCTAAAGAAAGATGAAAAGACTGAGATTTGTGTTTCATGTGTCCCCTACGTACACTGGGAGAGAACAGATGAACATCCTATTCAGGCGAGGAGAGAGGGGCAAGATGACCACTCCTATTATATAACTTTAAGAACCCTTCAATATTTAACTCCCAAATTAAGACTTTTTGAAAATTATAAATGGGAACACAATCAAATATTCCCTCTAATTTGTTTCATCGTTTTTAAGTCCGTATATAATGATCTATAAAAACTCTAGAAACTCACAATTTTTCAGTTTGACTGGGTTAGGTTGGCCCGGAAGGGTAAGTATCCGGCTTTCAATCATGACTTACAGACTCCTTCGACCCTCCCACTCAGGCAATAAGTACGCAATATTTCTCAGGAAATGCTAGCGTTACGAACTCGCCAACCTTTAAGCATCTTCACTGCCACTTCTGTCCAGTTAGCCTTCCCAGCAATTTGTAAAGCCAGTCCTTTAGCAACCTGTCCAAATGCCCCCTGGCCAAACACCTCACGAATTTGCAGTCTTGTTTTTGGAAACTCCCACCGACTCGAACGACGGGCTCGTGGAAACAAAGTAGGTGGGGAGGTATCGACTTTCTCATCTTGTTCAGCTCTAGTATCCACCTAATTTTCAAAAATGAAGTTAGCTTAAACGGAAACCCCTGGGAGTCTTTTGAACGCTTTTTCTGTTCTATACAGAAATCATCTTTTGTTTCTATCAAGATTTTACGTCTTATTCTCTTTTTTGTTACATTCTTCTTTTTATTTTTAATTTCTTGTAGTTGTTAAGTTCCTGTTATCTGTTACACTACGTTTTCCATCCCAAATTGACAAATTTCTTTACTTTTATTATGTCCAACTAACGGTAAACATCCTGTTCTCGTGACTGATTTTGCGAACTGAACCAACATCTTCTTACCTCAACTTCTCCCTGTATCTGTGCTGGTCTGGGTACATGTGTCAATTCAACCTCTCTTTGCCTGAAAATAAATTAACGCAATGATGACGCTGAAACCTTGAGATATTCAATCGAAACAAACTTCCATGAAAGCCATCGTTGGATCAAAGTTATAAGAGATCTACAAGGTTAGCATTTGGTTGTTTCCGGCTAACAGTAAGGATGGGAATATACGTGTCCCCAAACTGTGCCGTATACAGTCAGTAGAGATTATTGGTCTGAAAAGCTGGCAACATAAAGGACGAAAATATGGGTGCTGCAGTTTAGAGTAAAAGCTCTCTAAGCCGGCAAAATCTCTTGTTTTCTGAGCAGACATTCTGACTGGATACGTTAAAGAGAAGTTTCCATACGCCATTCAGTTAAAAATGATTGGAAAGTTATAGAAGGTTTTCACAGTCAGGTCCATGAAAGTTAACAATAACCTATTGTAAAGACTGGCGTTACGAGCGTTTCCAACTGGTATACCTTTACTTACCATGAGGATTGCCAAACGTAACATTAAACGTTACGCTCTACCTCTGAACTGTCGTGACTTTAAGGAGTCATTAACAAATACTTTGGTACTCTTTAACAATCTTACCTCTGATTAAGGCCTTGCTCTGAAATATTCACAGCACCAAGAACAGTCAACCGAATAAAAAGGAAGGAAAACAGAAGATAAAAACCATAAAAAGAAAAGCAAAAAGGTTTTGATCTCTACATGCAAGGTTATAAGTTTTTAATTTAAAAATGAGCAATTGAAACCGTATCAGATCTCAAAACTATACATTTTTCAGTAGCTTTACTCTGCCTAAAAACAGGAAACAGAAAAAATGAAACAGGAACTGATACTATCTTTCTTAAAATGCCACACTTTGCCTGAAGCCAGCACTCTTTCTAGAAAAATGATGAAACAGAACTAAAGTTTTGTTCAATGACAAATATGTTAAATGATTCATAACACAACAATGAAGATGCAACTGAAACATGAAATTACAAATAGGATCTCACTTGCAACATATTTGCTCACATTGTATCGTTATCATCGCATTGATCTGATGAGTAATGATGAAAATAAGAAACGAATTTCAAGAAATACCAATCAATGTACCCTCTTTATCTTTTCCTTTCCGCATTTTCCAGCAGAACCCAAAAATGATTACCGAAAGGACGACAATTACAATTGCTGAAGTTATCGTAAAAATCAACAAGGCGGCAAAATGGTCTGGTTTTTTGGAACGAGGAAGATCACCCATGTCTGACCGCTTTGGACTCACCGCCATGGCTAAAATGAAAACAAAAATAAAATAGAATTGGGATTTAAAGGTTGCTACGATCTTGTGGTCTGATTGCTCTTCAAGGGAGGACACGTGAGTTTCATTGACATTACCTGAGGTCGATACACCCATAATTACATAATTATCAATTTTAGAATAGTTCAACATGAGATTAACTACAAATTGCAAATTACTAGTTTTTTAAAGGGTTCATTTAAGGGTTTTTTAGGAAAATTGTATAAAATTAGAGTTAATTTAACTGTCGTCAGCTAATGCCATAAAAAGTTAAAACATAACTTTTGTTTGATGTTTGAAAAAACTTCTGTGTCTGATAATTTCCTTAATTTTTTTCATCTAGAGTCCTAAGCTAGTAAAGAGATCGATGCATTTAACCTTTGGTTGACACAAGGGCCACCTCAGTGTTAGCTTCATCCAAGGTAGTAGTAGTTTGCATACTTATCGACTGTATAATACCTAGCCAAACGAAAAAAAAAAGCTAAAGGAAAACAAACCAAACAAACACAAAACGAACAAAGAGGCATGAAAACTAAAATACTGTATAGCACTATTTTGTCGCGGTTGTTAAGACGAGTTTAATGCGATAAAGTGTTCGGCAAAGTTATCTCATAGATATTCTTAATATGAAAAAAAAATTGGATAAACAAAAATTAGAACAGAGACTTAAGCAAACTAACACACCGTATAGCACAATTTTTGCCACGGTTGTTTAGAGGAGATTTTTGCGATAGAGTTTGGTGAAGTTGTCTCAAAGTAATTCCTAATATCACAAAAAAGAAATCTCTGTCTGATAATATCTTTAATTTTTTCATCTGAAATATCATCTCTCCCCATTATTATCATTCCTGAAGAGTCATAAGCTAATAAAGAGATCGATGCGTTTAACCTTTGGTTGACAAAAGGGCCGCCTCAGTGTTAGCTTCATCCAAGGTAGCAGCAGTTTGCGAGCTTGTCGACAATACAATACCTAGCCAAACGAAAAAAAAAAGCTAAAGAAAAACAGACCAAACAAACACAAAACGAACAAAGGGGAAAGAAAACTAAAATTCTGTATACCCCAATTTTGCCGCGGTTGTTGAGACGAGTTTTATGCAATATTAAGTTTAGCAAAATTAATATATTGTATAGTGCAATTTTGCCGGGGTTGTTGAGAAGAGATTTTTACGATACAGAGTTTGGCGAAGTTATCTCAAAGTAATTCTTAGTATTGCAAAAAAAATTAAACAAAAATTGAAAGGTTTCTCTTGGACCACAAATAGACGTGGGAATATAAAGTAGACGGCTGCTAGTTTCCTCGTAAAAAAATTGATTAAACTCAGGTATACCGTTTATATTCAAACAAAATATGAATATAAAGATATTTTATATATGATTATTTACTGACCCTTACCAGTGGTTTTCGGCTGCATATCAACATGCGAAGGTAAAGGTTTGTATGTTGACTTCGCTAAAACATAAAAAAAGTAATAATAAACCTAATTGGAAAACCTTTTACCAGAATTGACGAAGATACCTTCTTTTGAAAATTTTTAAACCCTAACCGTAAGCGAAATTCTTCGAGTGACATATATTTAGAGTAACGTTTCAGCATCTAAAGATTAAGCTAACATGTTGAAAATTATATTCAAACGCGTGCATTTGGAAGCCTGTTTATTTAAAGCTTTGATTTATTATTCCTTTGACACCATCTTCCTTAAATGATCATATTCGGTCATTTTTGGATCGTTTAACGAACTTATATTTATCACAGCTGATAAGCTTTTAGATCCTAGACACCGCCATTTGCCACTTGCTTGTGACGCAACAATCTTATTCCTTTAAATTTTCTTCCATCCCTTGACATGATAAAAAATGAATGCTTTGAGGGGCAACCTCCCTTTTAACGAGCTTTTATGTTATACCAGTAATTACCTGCCACAGTTACCATTAACTTCGACTGTGTCATCACCACTTGTCTTGATCCATTTCCGGAGGGAAGTATAACTTTCCAAGAAAGTTTATACGACTGGGCATCTGAGATTCTTACATCTTGAATCACAAAGGATATCTTCCCTTGGCTCGCTTCGCCTGTCCATCTAACTCGTCTGCCGTAATGGATTGATTTCGTGATACCAATCCAGAACCTTTCAGGACTGTAGTAGAGCCATGCAATTCGCGTCCTGTCTGTTACTGTATGTAACTTAAGCGACCACGCCAGCATACCTACTGAGTGATTCCCACGAACACGACATGACCATTCCAGCGTTACATCGGAACCTATGGTTGTTACCACTTTTCCTCCATGAACTCGCTTGATGTAAATTTCAGCACTAGAATATTTGATTGACCCTGAAAATTTCCAATTAAAAAAAATGCTAATGCAAATACAGAATAGTGGAGCAAGTGGCATAACACAAGTGGCATATCACCATTCCAGCGTTACATTGGAACCTATGGTTGTTACCACATTTCCTCCATCAACTCGTTTGATGTAAATTTCGGTGCTAGAATATTTGATAGACCCTGAAAATTTTTGTTAAAAAAATGCTAATGCAAATACAGAATGGTGGAGCAATTGACATAACATAAATTTCACAGAAAATAATTCTACAACCATTGAGGTTCACTCAAGCATGAATGCTCCAATAAAGGAAAAAATACTAACACGGCGAAGTGTGCTCATTAAAAACTCACGTTGTACCGGCGTAATAAGACCTAACAACCAACTTGGGATGTCAAAAAAACGCAAGAAAAGTTTGTTTATAACGAGCTGGAGACGAGTAATTCAAAAACTTTTCAAATGGCCAAAATTTGTTCACAACATTTTGTTCACTGTGATGGCTGTTGTCGATAAGAGTATAGACCGCGCTAAACCACTGACGATTTGTTAATCTAAGTTGGTGCCAGGTTTTTTTCAACAAACTGTAACAAGAATGCAGTTGTTATTTTACTGGGCGTAATCGACGATGTCTCTTCGCCTGGTCATATGATCAACAGGAAGTGATTTTTTTTTCTTCCTTCTTTTGTTTTTCTTGGTTTTTTTTTTCCTGTTTCAGTCAAATAATTTTTCAAAGAAGGCCCCGAAAGGGCCGAGCTTACATGATCACGACAAATTCGTTACAAGCTCTCATAAAGAAAAACCCACTTTCGAAGGAATGGGCTCCTACTATTGCCGATATCACCTCCCATCAAGATTTTACGAACTCAGTAACGAAATGCAAACGAGTTAAAGAAAAATAGAGATTATTTTGCTACTTGAATGTCAATGAGGCATCTGGTCTCTTCGATTCGACAATTAATTGCCTGACAAGAAAAATGCCGTATTTGGAAAGGTTCAAACTGCTTTGATGAGGGCTGCTCACAAGTTTACAAAGGTTAGATCATCCACTCAGACATGACACATTCGATATTTGTTTTACTGTTATAACTTTGAACTTCAAACGATTCCGCAGGAGTTCCTATTGTCTCTAACTTTATCAGATTACAATGTTGGCGGTCGTTTTCCTCTAAAAGTGCAATAACAGCTGAAGCAGATCGAATCTATGATCGGAAATAACAGGAAGTCACTAGATAATGGAAAGTGAAAGTAACTAGGAGTGGGCCGTCTGAATAATTCACAGTCGCTTGGGCATACTTGGAAGATACAAAAATAATTTGTCTGTTACATTTCGTCTTTCGGGCTCATGAAAAACATTTCCCCAAATCGTTGAAAACTGAAAGTATATTCTGCACAAAAGACGCCCCCTCTCTTCGCTGAAAACATTTACCTTTCATGCTTTTGTTTGTGCCCATGCATGTTGTTGTGTCACTCTGCTAATAACGGTTCTTAATGATTATCTCTTTATCACAAATATATTGGGACTGAATTCAAAACAAAGGGCGTACTTTAGTGGTTGTACAAGTACTTAAATGTCTTATACTTTCCTATGATAATTTTAATACTTGTTTAAATGATTCTCGTAACCAATTTGCTTTTCTTTCTTTAATCCTACTCGTGCGACTTAGAAAGAAAGATAAACGGCTCGTCTTGAATGCGCTCAGCTTGTAAAAGGACATACCACATGTGTGTACAGATGTATATAGGGAGTTATAAGTACTCTCCCTGCTTCAAGGAAATTCTTCCAGTCATATGGAGACTAGTGTTGCTCAATAGAGCTGGTCTTTTAGTGGCATCCTTAACGAGATATTCAGTTTCCCTCCTTACAAACAATTAGCTATATGCGTTTACATAACAGTGAATGTTTGAGAACTAAAATAATCTATTGATTTTACTAACCTGCACATTCAACGAAGGCTAAGTGGGAAAACATGCAGAGCAAGACACAACAGATGATGATGCGAAAGACCATCTTAGCTACGATTACGTTCCTCAATTTAGTTGTCTGTCTCTAGTCTAAGAGTCAGTTAAAGTGGTCCAAAGCTTATGTACAAATGGGAGTTCTTGTGCCCATTCCCTCACCGCGAGCATTCCTGATTTTGCCTTGAGGGCTGGCTTATTCAAATTTTCTGGGAATCTGGGAGGCTTCAGACTGTCATCGTTGAGTATTGGAAACTAAGGATTGATCGTTACAGAGCTGAGACAGCTGGTACGGAAATAGAATTAGTCCTTTGTGATTCCATAGGAATCACGAGTAAATTTATTTATGCATAGCTTGAAAACATTGTTCAGAAAATTCAATGGAAGGGATATTCTCAAACGATTAAAACTGTCTCTGGTTTATAATGATCGCGAGGTTGAGAATGCATTATCTCTCCAGTATTTCCGGTTATTCTTTTTATTTTTAGCGCGTGAACACTCCACCTATAAAAAAAAAAACCGCCTGACATATTGTGAGAGGAAAGAAATTGGCACGCTTATTGATACATTCCGAGAATTTGTTTCGAGTGTTTTAAAGAAATCGCGTTTTTGCTTAAGGGCGTGGTGTGATTTGAAAGTGAAATCAAACTAATTTGCTTCCCAGAAATACCAGTATTTATAAAGCTCATCGCTGAAATTCTCGACACTACCGTTCGAATTGTTTTTCTCTAATTAGTAACACAAAAACACTTTGTAATTTCGTAGTTTTCCACACCATTAATTTGATGATAAAAGAATCTTTGGTAAATTGTAACCAAGAAGCGTTGAAACAAATAATTAGATTGATCGTTGGTAACTTTACCACAGTTTAGCCGACGAAGTCCCTCGCAGCGAATCAGAAATAGGTTTTCGCGTGATTGAAGAAATGTAAAATGGTTTCCGTGTTTACATAGCTTGATGTAAACACGCGGGAGGTTGGGAGAACACGAGATAAGCGTAGGAAACCACGACGCGAAGCGGAGTGGTTTCCAGCTTATCGAGAGTTCTCCCAACCTCCCAAATGTTTACATCAGGCTATGTAAACACGGAAACCATTTTACATTTCTTTTATAAAATAACTTATGAAAGAGGAACGAAAAACCGTGTTTACATACGCTCATGTAAAATGGTTTTATGGCCAATCAGAGCGCGCGTACTATTTGAATTATTTATAAAAACAATTGTTCAATATATCCTTTACCTTTATACCTTTTATTTCTTATCAGTGTATAATTCCACTCAAGTCACCTATAATAAAAATACTTAGCACACACATGATCAATAAAGCTGTTAATAATCAGCTTTTGCTTATTTAAACATGATAAGTGGTCCCGAAGGATTTGATAATTAATAGAAATTTATTAATATTGTCTTCTTTTGCGTACAACAACCAACCATAAAAACAAACAACAGGATAGTCTCTTGAATAATTAATCGCATATCAATATTTACATCATAACTGACGAACAACTCGAGTTTGTTCAGCTTTCCCAAGGTAACATCATAACTCGTATACAGAAACAATCAAAATGACGGAAAATCTACATTTATAAATTAATAGCGTAAATTGCATCAGCAACGGTGAAATAATTCAATAAAATGATTAATATAAAATGCAGAATGGTTAATACCGATGATATGAAATAGAACAAACAGGGTACAAATAAAAGAACTTCATGCTGTATAAAAATTAAGTATAGTAAGATAAATATGATAAAGACTGGTATTTTCTACGATGTAATTAGTTTCCAAGTAAATTCCAAACAATGCAATAAGGTTCCAGATTCATTTCGAACAAGGTAAGTCTCTCACGAGCTTATACCTCGTACATAAAGATAAGCAAAACCTTTTTTCGCGATAGCAGAAAACTATAAATCTATGAAATGATAAAGTGAATTACATTAGTGAAATAATTCAGGAAAATGATTAACATAGAATGCAAAATGGTTAATACCAAAAATATGAAATATAATAAAGAGGTACAAATAAAACGAACTCCATGCTATATAAACTTACGGTGCAATAACATAAATAAATTATAGAGTGGTATTTTCTACAATTGAAGTGGAAAGTTTGAACGTTGACAGCTGCGATTTTAGGTGTGTCATATTCGCAGTAAAACCTTCACTGATAGCATTTGATGGAAAAAAAATCAATGGGTCTTCATACAAACTTAACAAGCATGCATGTTATCTATTTTTGAAAATTATCTTGGGAAGGTTTCTAAAAATGGTAAATGAAAATTTAAACCAGACTAGGCCGAAAATTTACTTTGGCGCCCAAATAAGAATCCTTCTTTCTAGTGATTTCACAAATTTCTGTTCAGCCCGCTATTGTTTCCTTCTTATTAAACGAAATTTTAAGGTTGAAAAAACTTTGACATTTTTTACTAATCATTGGCCATGGAGAAAAATCTTGAAATCAACTGCCATTTTGAGCGATCATTTGAATAGCAATGACTTGAAAATTTTCAGTAGAAAGCCTGTAGGCCGTAGAATTTCTATCAGTGAGAAGTGTTTGTTATTGTGCCATATGAATAAGTTGGGCGTACATTTTTGTGAAATGGTCTATCATTGTGCGCTTGTCGAGGTTTCATCATCAATATAAATCTATACTTCCTAACGGACATTTTATCAGCCAGCTCTTCCTATGATATCTGATAGGAAAGTTCATTGAAACTCTTAGGGTGTTAAATATAGGTCACTTGAAGCTATCGAAGCTTAAACAAGTTTAAAAAATTAACTTAATTTTTTACAGACGAGTACAAATTTCTTGGAAATTGAAATAATATAAATTAGATGTCTGGTAGACAGATCGAATCAAACGCCTGATTCAGAGCTGTTTCCGATTGAGTGTCGTAAAAACAAAAATAACGAGATCGATATGATAAATCAAATCAAAGATAAATACTACGCGAAGCTGCCCAAATAGCTCCGGTCACCCCAAGCGCAGTGAAGCGGGGAGCGGCAGTTCGTGATTCCTTTCAGCTAAGCAACTGATTGGCTACGAAGGAGGTGAAAGTTTCCTACAACAATCGTGGATGGTACTGAGGCAAGACATGTGCAGTTCCAGATTTTTATCGACACTCAATTAAAAGTTGCTCTTATAACAAACACTTTTGAGGTTGCATACTACAGTTGAACTCAAGTCAAGACTCGTTATCAGTCAAGAAAAAAATTATAAATGCCAGACAAGATAAACACTTTTGCCTACAAGGTACTGATTTTGTTTTAATGTCCTTCCCATGGATAATTTTCTTCATCTCCTCAGTGATACAATGAACTACATTTTTTACCGTAATGTTCTCGGTTTTCTTATTTTCTAGAGGGGAGTTCGTGTTCTGTCAATATTTAACAAGGCAGCACCATTGACTGCATTTCAAACAGGAGTTTTGTGATCTGCGATTTCTTGCACCAGTGATACAACAAAGCCAGTTTCTATCTCAGCGGCATTAAACGTTCTCGTACACTCTTCCATTGTATGTCGTCAGGTTGATACAGTCCTGGAATAGTGAAGGAATTATTCTTCATGAATCAGATTTTAAACAAAGGAACCAAACAACACAAAACATTCAAGAGAGTCTGATTTAATCGGAGAAACCCGTCGGGTCGCGTATAAAATTGTGTTTGAATAATCCAAGCTAAATGTGTTGAAGCTAGGGTGCGGGCTTACAACTGCGCAAATCGTTTTTGTCAGCTGGGCCGGAAATGATCAACAAAAATCGCTGAGTTTTTGTGTACAGTTTACCTCAATCTCCCCATCCAGTTGCTTTAGAGCCCTGTAAAGTTGTGAAAACGTCAATCGTTTTTCGGGATCTTCATTCCAACAAGAAAGCATTAGGTCATATCTGAAATAGAAACATCCGCAGCATAAACAGGCAATTCATCACACCTATTTATCTTAGTTCACTTAGACCAATTTGAGGGATTTTTACTCACACTTTTTCGTCTAAATGCTGCGGCTTTTCCATTCTGTAACCTCTTCGTAATTTCTCCACCAGCTCTACCACGTCCATGCCGGGATATGGGCGGCCACCTATTGATAGCAACAAACGTTTATCACCATTGAGTATTAAAAAAGTTATTAATAAACAGATGGAGAAATGAACAGAATGATCGATTTTATCAATGAAGAAATTAACTAAATTAAAATAGACGACTAAACGCATGGACCAACAAGCGAACATGAATGGATGATTAATGAATGGATAGATGGACAAATAAATGAATAGTTGGATGGATGGACGGACGAATGGATGGAAGGACGGAGGGATGAAAAGAAGGATGGTTCAATGGAAGGATTGAGGATTGAAGGATGGATGGAGGGAAGGATTAATGGATGAACAAATGGACAAATAAATGCAAGAATGAATGGATGGATGGATAGATGGATGGAGGGATGGATGGGGAGATGAAAGGATGGATAGATGGAAGGATAGATGAGGAAATGAAAGGATGGAGTAATGGATGGAAGGATGGAGTAATGGATGGAAGGATGGATGATGGGATGGGTGTGTGCAACGATGAATGAATGGATGGGTGAAAGAATGGATGGGATGAATGGATGTATGGATGGAAGGATGAAAGGGGGATGGGAGGAAGGACGGAAGAATGGATGGATGGATGGAAGGATTGAAGGATTGAAGGATGGAGAGATGGATTAAGTGGATGGAGAGATGGATGTATGGATGGAAGGATGGAAGGAAGGATGGAAGGATGGACGGAAGGATTGAGGGAGTGAAGAATGGATAGATGGATGGATGGATGGATGGATGGATGGAT